GAAGGGTCCGATGTCCCGGCTCAGGATCCTGGTCACTGTCCCATTCCTTGGAGATCCCCTTTTCCCAGGACCAGTGGAAGAACAGGGGTTTTGCCAGACTGGAGTGATCTGTGGTGGGTAGGAAAGAACAGGGATGGGATTTGGGACTCTCTTCCCCAAACACATTTTGATCTCCGAGCTCAGGTCCAGGAATCCACCTCCAGGCTCAAATGCACCTTCTGGCATTGGATAAATCCCAGCTCCAGCCCCTTTTGCACACTGCAGTGTTATCCTCTGGGAATCCTGGAAGGGAAGAGGCGGCCCAGAGCAGGAATGTGCTTTTCAGGTGAGGGCAGCACCGACCCCACAGCAGCTGGCAGGGCAGGCATGGCAACGTCCTTCCAAGGAGCAGGTGGCCTTCACCCTGTTCCCAGCTCCACTCCTCATCCATTACTCCCACTTGTGTCTTTCCAGGCTGGATTTGGCTCCAGCTGAGCCGTCGGGGCTACACAGGGAAGAGCCCAGTGGGTGAGAAATCTCAGCTCCAGGAATTCTTCCCAACGTCCCCACCTGGGCACAGCCACCACGCCCCTTCCTGGCGCTGTCACATCCAGTGCTGCCTCCGTGGGCACTGCCAGGTTCCTTGGGCTCGGCACAGGGGGGCTCCCACCCCCAGGAATGCCCGGGAAGCTCATCCTGGGGGTTACACACACAGGTGACCACCCCCGGCGGGGAGGAGGTCGGGCAGGATCTGGTGGAATTCCTGGAAATCCCTCCTCCACGGGGAGCAGGTTGGCAGGGAAATCCCCCCCCACCTTCACTCCTCACGACACCAGGGCTTGGCCACAGACGTTCTGTCTTCCCAAAAGCACCTCTTGGCATCGCCCAGCGCAGGGAACGCTCCTCGGAAGCCTTGTGCTCATTGCTCTAACAGTGTCAAGGTTGGCTGTGGAAAAGCCACATTCCCCTGGGCAGAGGAGTTGGCTGCTGGTTTTTTCGGGGTCAGGGGGGGAGCTTAGCCCTTGTCCTGGGTAAGAGGAGCTCCCTTTTCATTCATGTTCTTTAAAAAAAAAAAACAAACAAACAAAAAAAAACAAACAGAAAGAGACGCAGAGGAGACAGGTATGAGAGGAGACAGGAATCAGAGAGCCCTGATGTGCTGCACGCCCGGCCCTGCTCGCTGGCACCTCTCAGGCTCCTCCAAAACCAAGGGACATGGCAGCCTCAGGGTTCCCTCTGCCTGGTTCAGGCCCAACTGGCCCCTCAGCCCTGGCCTGTGGCTCCTAAATTTCTCCAGCCAGGGCTGGACCTCCCGGCTACAGGCACAGGTAGAGGGGAGGGATGGAGGAGGTGGAAGCGTCGCCCCACCAGCCCCTGGGCACGGGTGTCCTGGCACAGGGCTGTTCACAGAGAGGCTGGAAGCCTCTCCACCTCTCCTCCTGGCTGCAAGACTCCTCCTAACCCCTGGGTGTCAACACGGAGCCACCTTCGAGTTCCCTCACGAGGTTCCACGGGGCCAGCCCTGCCTGGGGCACCTCATCCCATCCAAATCCTGGGGAGAAGGGAGCCAAACCTACGGCCTGTCCCTGCCTGGCTGCTGCAGCGGGTCAGCTGAGTGTCTGCACACACAGGTAAGGACACCTCGGGAGCCCCTGGGCCTGCCAGGGCCCCGGGAATCCTTGGATGCGGGATCAGGACGTGCCACCGGCCGGGCAGGGATGCAGCAAAGCCAAGGAGCATCCCAGCCCTGCTCCCTGCGTGCTCCCCCAAATAACCTGGAGCACAGGTGTGTCTGCCCAGGGCTCTCGGGGTCAGGGGAGTGCCAACAGCATACGCACCGTTCCTTTCGGGGTGTTGCCATCAGCCTGCAGGTTGAGGAAGGGGTTGGGCTGTGCTGTCAGGACGGGTGGGAGGCCCGTTCCCGAGGCCAGGAGGCTGTTCCCAGGAGTGCTGAGCGGTGGGGTGGCCTGGGGGGCCAGGAGGGCATTGCTAGGGTTGAGCTGCTGCGGGGACAGGGAGGCCAGGAGGGAGCTGGTGCTGGGGGGTGGTTGGGGGGCCGAGGTCATCAGGGCGGGGGCCGAGGTGGCGGCCAGGAGGGAGCTCATGGACAGCTGGGACGAGCTGCTCATCTGCAGCCGCTGCAGCTCCCGCTTCTGCTGGATCTGCTGCATCATCTGGAACACCAGGGCCTGCTGCTCCTGCGGGCAAGGGGGAGGGAGACGGGTCACAGAGGGCACAGAGCGCTCGGGAGGAGGTGGCACCTCACGCGGGAGCCACGTGGGCTCGAGCTGTGCCAGGGGAGGTTCAGGAGGGAAAATTTCTTCACTGGAAGGGGGGTTAAGCACTGGAACAGGGTTGCCCAGGGGAGTGGTGGAGTCACCATCCCTGGAAGTGTTCAAAAAGCAAGCAGAGGTGTCACTAGGATATGGTTAAGTGGGCACGGTGGGATTCGGTTGAAGTTGGGACTCGATCTCGGAGGCTTTTTCCAACCTCAATGATTCCATGACACACTCTATCCCAGGCAATGCTACAGGAGACAGGGAGAAAGTCCCCTTGATCCCATCTCTACAGGGAGAGAGAGGATCAGTCTGCCTCGTGTTCATTAACAGCCTGTGCCTGTGACCTTTCCAACCCCGCTGTTTCCCGACACACAGGATTAGTGAACCCTCACCCAGCCACCTGCAGGCACACAAATCCACTCAGCAATTCCCAATCCATCAACCCAGGGATTTTAAGTCTGTGGCATTCACTATCCTGAATTTCCAGACTGGCTCCTAATTTCCTCCCCTGGCTCATCCCGCTTCCCAGCTCAGCCCTGACCCACGGGGGGGGTGCAGGTGAGCAGGACCCGGGGTGGGGGGATGAGGGTCACACCTCACCTGCATCCAGAGGGACGCCCTCAAATCCAGCAAACTGCAGGAATTGCTATGGCAACCATTGACCACTGCAGCAGGCTGAGAGCTGACATTGTTGTGCCCCCACGGGGATGCAGCTGATGGCACGGTGACATGGTGACATCAGCTGCTCCACAGAGAGCCCCTTGGAAACTTGCTATATAAATAGCCTGACCCAGAAACCCATCCAGAGCAATGGGCCGGGTTCCAGGGAGACAGAAACGAGCAGAGCACAGCTCCATTGATGGGAGCTGGTGGCATTCCTGGGTGGCTCCACCCAGGGCAGGGGCAGCACTGAGGTCTCCGCAGGGCACTGACTGTGGTTTTACACCCGGTCTGCCACCTCTCCACGCAGCCTTTCCCACCACAGGGCTGCTGTTTGACCCCCGAGGGTGCAGGCACAGAGCCAAGAGCCTCAGAGCAGCTGCCTGGTCCTTTTCCTGACCCCAAAATCCTCAGCCACCTGCAGAGTCCTGCTGGCATTTCCAGTTCTCCCGGTAAATGTGCCCAGACACGGATCGCCCGCCTCAGGACTAGAGCAATTTGGTGTTTACCTCCTTCTAACCTCAAACAGTGTCCTCAAGAGTGCTCCTCACCTCCCGTGGGCCTCAGCACACCTGGGAGACCAGAGCCCAGCCCCTCCTGGCAGCAGGATCAGACACCATTTGCATCCAAGGATGGCTGGAGGAGGTAAAAGCTCAACGCATTTTACTCCCCCTCCCCGATTTTACGGTGGCTCAGAGTTCCCACCTCCTCACCCCCCTCAGGACGTGGGAAACCCAGATTAAATTTTTTCCCTTGGTACAAAGAAAACGGTTCAAACCCCAGCTCCCCTCCTTGGGAAGTGCTGCACCTTCCTGCCTAAAGCTTCGCTCCTCATTCCATCCACAGCGTCCGGGAGCCGGGAAAAGGCGCCCGGCTCGGCATCCCCGTGGGCAGGGGACTCAGGGCAAGGAGGGAGCCCCAAGTTTTGCCCTCTGCTGCGAGGTTTTCCCGCTGAACAGCTGAGCACTCACCGGATTAAGCGGCTGGGAAGTCAGGAGCTGCTGGAGCTGCTGGAGCTGCTGCTCGTGCTGGTGCAGGACGTGCCGCTGCTGCTCCGTCAGGGGACTCAGGCTGGGAATGCTGCGAGGGAAGCGGGGCAGGGAACGTCAGCGCGGCCCCTCTTGGTTCCTGCACGCACAGGGCTCGTCCCTCCCTCCCTCCCGGAGCTAAACTGCTGCTGGAGAGGGCAGGGCCGTGCCCCCGAGCCCCCCGTCCTCACCTGCTCAGGCTGGTGGAGAGCTGCAGGGCCGGGGGCCCGCCCGGTCCCTGCGTCGGCGCGCTGGCGGGCTGGGCGGCCTGGGCTCCGTTCAGGTTCCCCAGGATCCCGTTGATGGGCATCTGCTGGCCTCCTGCCAGGGTCCCCATCAGGCCGTCCACCATGGGCACCGTGGAGAGGCTGTGGCTGGCACTGGTGCCTCCCCCCAGCCCGCCGCCGGCCACGCGGGCCAGGCCATTCACCTGCTGCACCCCGGGCAGGGGTAGCGAGGCAGGACTCTGCTGCAGCATGGGCAGGGGCGGAGGGGTGCTGTGGAAGGACAGGGAGGAGCTGCTCCTGCTGGGACACCCTGAGTGAGGGTCCTGGGGGAGAAACGGACACAAGAGCATCGGACTGGGGCGGCTGCGAGAGGTCGGCTCAGCTCCGAGGGCGCCGAGGGCAGGAGCTGGAGGTGGGAAGGGGGGGGGGGGGGCTGTGAGTGCAGGTGCAGGTCAGAGGGGTCCCAGAACTCAGACATGCTTTGGCTGGATCTCCAGGATAACCTGGAAGCATTCTCACCTCACGCTCCCGGTCTCAGCTACTCTACTCAGACCTCAGCACTGAGATGAAGAACGGGCACTCCGGGGAAAGAATTCCTGATTCTGAGCCTGGGCTACGAGGCTTTAGGAGCTGGCTACCGAGTCAGAGTCCTGGGACTGCACTGCTCCCTCCCTGAGTCCCTTCCCGGCCGGCTGGCGGGTGCAGAGGCCGTGTTACCTCAGAGGAAGTGGAGAGGGAGTTCTCAATCCCAAAGCTGTTCTTGCACGGGGGGCTCTTGCTGATGCTCAGGGAATCGTTGTTGCAGACTGGAGGGGGGAAAGAAGTGAGGGTGCAGAGTCAGGGCTGGAGCCTGACAGCCAGGGATAGAGTGAAAACAGGTCAGACCCCCCCACCGTGACCCCCCTGCCCACCCCGGGGCACAGGGGGTGCATCCCCCCTGTCCCCTCACCGTTGGCAGGCAGGATGTACTGGGCCTGGCTGCCTGGGCCATTGCTGCTGGTCACCACGGGGAAGGGGACGGAGAGCTGGACGTTGAGGAGCTGCAAACGCTCCTTCTTGGCCGTCAGAGTCATGATCTGCTCCTGCAGCCGCTGGTTCTCCTTCTGCAGCGAGTGCAGGGCCTTGAGCATTTCTACAACTGCAGGGGAAGGAAGGGGACAAGGGGCAGGGGAGAGAAGGGGGGATGGAGGAAAGAGGAGAAGGGGACCATGGGATCCACAGTTAGACCCCACTCTGGGAGGAGACTGGCCCCAACCCCCAGTCCCACTGGCAGCTACTCCCCCATGGCACACACTGGTGCTTTGTCCCCCACCCGGCTCCGCTGCCTGTGGGCAAAATCCCAGCTGGCTCCCACACAAACACACACAAGGACCTCTCCTCTCTCAGTGACTCACTGTTCACTCCGGCCTCCCCGTTGCCCTGCTTCTCCAGGAGCTGCTCGATGTTGGGGGTGGCCTGGGGAACATTCTCCAGCTGCCCACTGCTGCTGCAGGACACGGTCTGGTCGAACAGGGTCGGGAGGCTGCTGATGGGGGACCTGGGCGAGGGTTGGGGGGTGTCAGAGGAGCTTCCCCGCTCCATCCTCCTCCACTCCCTGCTCCCACAGCTCCTGTGCCTCATGCTGGGAGTGGCTGCATCCCCCCCCTGCCTCAGCCTCCTCTGCTCCACTCCAGGTGAGCCCCACATTCCTGTTAGTCCTGGTTTGTGTCAGGAAAGCAAAGCTGCCCCATCCCCTCCCATCCCATCTGATCACATCCCATCCCATCCCATTTGATCCCATCCCATCCCATCCTTCCCAGCCCCGAGGAGCAGAGAAGGAGCCGCTGCCTCCTCCTCCCCCAGCCCCTTTCCCTCTCCTTGCTGTGTCATCCCACGGCTTCCCGGGGTTCCCGCGCGGTGCCCGCGGGTGGGGAGGACTCCTGAAGGACACTCACATGGAAGAGAGACTCTCCTGCGGCGACGTCCCTCGGCAGCCGAAGCTGCAATCCTCCAGGTCCGGCTCTGCGCGGGGAGAGGGACAGAAGGGGCCGGTGTTGAGCGGCGGCCGGTGCCCGGGGTGTCCCCGCTAGATGGGAGCACAGAGCAGCACCGAGACACCGGGAGACACCGAGAGACACCGGGAGACACCGAGAGACACCGAGAGACACCGGGAGACACCGAGAGACACCGGGAGACACCGAGAGACACCGGGAGACACCGGGAGACACCGAGAGACACCGAGAGACACCGACAGACACCGGGAGATACCGAGAGACACCGACAGACACCGGGAGACACCGACAGACACCGAGAGACACCGAGAGACACCGGGAGACACCGGGAGACACCGAGAGACACCGACAGACACCGGGAGACACCAGGCAGCACCGAGAGACACCGGGAGACACCGGGAGACACCGAGACACACCGACAGACACCGAGAGCTACCGACAGACACCGGGAGACACCGGGCGGTACCGAGAGACACTGAGACACCCACAGACACCGAGCAGCACGGAGAGGCACCGAGAGACACCGGGCAGGATCGAGAAACACCGAACGGCACCGAGAGACACCGGGCAGGACCGAGAGACACCGGGCAGCACCGCACCGGGCAGCACCGAGAAGCACCGAGCAGGACCGGGCAGCACCGGGCAGAACCGCACCGATCAGTCCCGAACAAGCCCGGACAGAACGGCACCGATCAGCACCGAACGGCCCCGATCGATCAACCCCGATCAGCCCCGGGCAGCGCCAGCCCCGCGCTGCGCAACGCGGGGCCGGACCCGCCTCCCCCGGGGAGGGGCCGCTGGCACCGCCTGGCACCCCCGGCACGGGGGGGGTCACCCCGGGGAGGTCACCCGGGCCCGCTCTGCCCCCGCGATGGGCGAGGAGGAGGTTTTCCTGGAGCTGGAAAACCGTTCCTTGAGCTGGTTTTCCCGGAGCTGCCGGGGGAATGGGGGGTGGGGTGGATAAATCCTGTGCCCAGCCCTGCGCGGCTTTGCCCGGTGCCACTGCAGATCCACCCCCCTCCCGCCTCCAGGATCGATCCTGGAATCCTGGAGGATCAGTCTGTGATTCTCTGTAGAACGACAGAGTCGTTTATGTCGGAAAAGACCTCCGAGATCAGCCAAGATTCAGGATTCTTTCCTAAAACCCAGCTGGGGTTCTCCAAAGTTTCCAGGTGCTCAGCTCCTTTCTAAGGAGCTTAAATGGATTCACGGAATCGTTCAGGTCGGAAAAGCCCTTCAAGGTCATCGAGCCCAAACATTAACCCAGCCCTGACACGTTCACCACCAAACCCTGTCCCCAGGTGCCACATCCACACGTTTTTTGAGCACTTCCAGGGCTGGTGACTCCACCACTGCCCTGGGCAGCCTGGGCCAGTGCCTGACCACCTTTCCATGATGAAATTTTCCTCTGATGTCCAACCTGACCCTCCCCTGTCCAGCCTGACCCTCCCCTGGCACAGCTGGAGGCCATTCCCTCTCCTCCTGTCCCTTGTTCCCTGGGAGCAGAGTCTGACCCCCCCCGGCTCCCCCATCCTGTCAGGGAGTTGTAGAGTGAGAAAGTCCCTCCTGAGCCTCCTTTTCTCCAGGCTGAACCCCCCCAGCTCCCTCAGCTGCTCCTGCTGCTCCAGCCCCTTCCCCAGCTCCACTGCCATTCCCTGGCCATGCTCCAGCATCTCGATGTCCTTCTTGTCATGAGGGGCCCAGAACTGACCCCAGGATTTGAGCTGTGACCTCAGCAATGCTCAGTTAAGAGGGAGGAAATGCTTTAGTATCCAGAATCCTCCCCCCCAGCCATCCCTCTGTCCCAGGAAGCTGGGGACAGAGCCACTGTGCACACGTGCAGGATCTCTCCCATCCGAGGAGTAATCCAGGAGTGAAGTGTATTTCTCTGCCATTTGCTTCCCATCCCCAGGGCCTGCCAGCCCATAAACACACGCTCCCCTCGCTCTGGGACGTGTCAGATGTTGTGACTACAGCCCACACCAGCTGGCTCAGGGCCCCTCCTCTTCTTCACACAACACGAGACAGTTTCTCATGTGCAAGAATCCCGGAAATCTCCTGCAGGGAACGCTGTGATTTACAGTGGGATGCCCAGAGAGGGGGATTTTCTGTGGCTGGGAACAAGCAAACGCAGCTGTTGTTCAGCAGCTCTCACAGACAGGTAGGAGTGGGATCCTCGCTCCTTCATCCCCACGGGAATGTCCCTCTGGACACTGATTACAGCTGGGCCATCCTTCTGAGCAGGAGCTGTGGCTTTCTGGAGGTGACCAGTGGTTGCCACTCGACACTGGTCTCCCAGTATAAGACCTGAGAGCACCTTCCAGTGCCTAAAGGGGCTCCAAGAGAGCTGGAGAGGGACTTTGGACCCGGGCCTGGAGTGACAGGACAAGGGCAATGGCCTTAAGCTAAAGGAGGGAGGATTTAAATGGGATATTGGGAGGAAATTCTTTAATATAAGGGTGGGGAAGCCCTGGCACAGGTTGCCCAGAGAAGCTGGGGCTGCCCCATCCCTGGAAGTGTCCAAGGCCAGGTTGGATGGGGTTTGGAGCAGCCTGGGCTAGTGGAAGGTGTCCCTGCCCATGGCAGGGGGTGCAACAAGATGACCTTTAAGGTCCCTTCCAACCCAAACTACTCTGTGATTCCACACAAACATCCCCAGCCCACCCTGTGCAGCTTCCCCAAAACCATTTTAACTTGCAACCAAAGAAAAATTCGGGGAAGCTTTGACTTCCTGCTCGTCCCTGTAACGTCGTTTGCTGCAGCCCAGGGAGGCTGCACACACATGATTCTGGTTTCTGAAGCAGCACCAGGCTCCACATTCAATTATCTCCTGGCCAACACCACCCTGATGTGTCCAGAACAGGAGATGACTGAGTTATCACCCAGAGACAGCCCTTCCCGAGGCAGCCAGCATGGAAAAGAGGCTTGAAGACAACCAGAAGAGATAAAAACGTTTGGTCTGTCATCATAACACGGCAGGATCCAGGACAAACCGTGGGAGGAAGGACTAGACAGTAGCTCAGATAAGAATCAGACTCTCTGTTCTGCCAAAGGCAGCGTGGTTTGAACCTGTAGCAGTGAAAACAACTCCTCTGCTCCCCCAGTTCCCCCCAGCACATGGAAATGGAGAAAAGCTGAACTATTGCTGCAGTGAGAGCTCTGTCTCCACGGGATCTGTCTGCACAGACACTCTCAGGAACAGGAATCTGAATTAAAGACAAGGTGGGATTACTCAGAACTTCACAACCATCCTGTTAAACGATTTGGGATTAAAGGCATCACCACACTTTTAAGTGAAAAGGGCCCCCACACAGGAGGTTTAATGTATGTTAATTAATCCCCCTGGAGAAAAAAAAACAAGTGAATTTGGCTTAATGCCCTCTGGGCCACTAATTCCAGCAGGAGATAGTGATGGACAGACCCTAAACGTGACAAAACCCAGGAGCTGCTCTTTAAGGCTGCCTGGAATTGGGGGAAAAAAAAAGTATCCTGAAGCTTCTGAGATCCCTGTCAAACAAACAAGAAAAAAAAAAAAGCAGTCTTGGAAAAGGAAATTAAGGATCGGGGTTTAGTTTTTTTTGAGCCCTTTGTATGTTGGATTTTGCCTCCATGATTCACTCATCAGTAGCCCCGGGGCTGGAACAGGACCTGGACTCCAGGATTATTCCTGACAGGTGATTCCTTCCCTCTCCTGTCAGCACCTTGCCAAAATAACAGCACGGGGGGGAGAAGGGGGGGGAGCAGCACTGGGTCGAGGGAAAGGTAATTCCTTTCACCCTTTTCTTTCCATCCCTTAATTCCAGGTGGTTGAATCACTCCTGACTCGCAGCCCCAGCGATTCCCACGGGCTGAGCTGTGGCTGTCACCTCCCAGCTCAGGGACAGACAGACAAAATACTGCCAGGGACACACAGAGGGACCTTCCAGGGGCTTGCACAGGTCAGGAGGAAAAAACACACGTGTCCATTCACGCTTCACATGGCCCCTTGTTAAGGCAAATGAGGGAACAGTGGTGTGGGATTATCTGGAGCACTCTGAGCCACCCCTAATGAGGGTTGTGTTTTCAAGTGCTTGTCACTCAGCGTGACACCAGACAGGCTTTTACCTCCCAGGATTCAGCATCCAGCACAGCTGAGCTCCCAGATTTCTGGGTTAGGGGAGCAGGAGACTGTTGCCCCAGTGACTAAACAGCTGAAAATCAGGAGGGTGCTTTTGTTTAACCACTGGTGCGAACCAAAAAAAAAAAAAAATCAGCCCTGCTCTGTCTGTGAGGGGGAAGAAAAGTAGGGAAATCTTATGATGCTTCAAGTTTTCCTGCTTGTTAACCAGGCAGTTCTCCAAGGAAAATGAATTTGCCTCGGTGGGAAAAAAAAAAAAAGAGCAATTCTAAGTGATTCAGGGCTGGCACGTTGGTGTTTGGGAGTGGAAAACCAGTGGGTTTTCTGGCATTCAGGACAAAGCCAAAGGGGAAGGGAAGAAAGTAACTCAGAACAGAAGAGGAAGAGGAAAATTCGGAGCGTGAGAGAGAGAGAGAAACCCAAGGAAACAAAGCCCAAGGAAACAAAGCCCAAGGAAAAGCTTTCGAGGTATTTTGAGCAAGGAAAGCTGGTCGTGCCTTTCACTGCGTGGAAAAAAGACAACAAATTCTCCAGGGAAGGACTTGACACTCTTGCACTTTTCCAGGGACACACACACTAGCCAGGGACACACCAGATGTGCTTTGGGTGAACACAAGGCCCTCTCTCAGCCCCTGGCTCTCACACAGAGGGGGGGAGCAGGCAGGGAGGGCAGCTGGAGACGACCAGAGTTGTCTCCACTCTTCCAGGGAGCCCCCCCTGGGAATTCCAGGCTCACATACCTTGGGATTCACGTACCTGCCCGGCTGCTTTCCGACTGGTTCAGGAGGGGGTTGATCGACAGCCCAGAGGTGAGGGGGCTTCCAAAGATATGTGAGGAAGGGAGGCTGAACGTTGAACCTGCCAGTGAGAACACCTGCAGGGACAACAAGGAGGGAGGGGGGAGATGTGGCTCAGAGAAGTGACTTCTTGAAAGCACAAGAGGAAAATAACTTCATTATTCCGTCTCTTCCCGACTCCAACCCCGAGAGGGTGTTAAAAATATCTCCCTGGAAGTCTCACTAGACAGCTGAGATCTTCCCAGCTCTGCCTCAGAGCCAGGAGCCTGAAGGAGCCGTGTTAACACTGCGAAACTCTGTAAAAAACACCTCTCAGAGAGCTCCTGACAAGGATGAGGCTCCGAGTCCTGGCACAGCCCACCCAGCTGGGACCTGCCAGCCCTCCCTCGGGGTGTCTGTGCTGCTGGGCAGGCAGGGCTGGCACTGCTGGCAGGACCCAGCTACCAGGGCAGTGGGAAGTTCCCATCAGTGGGAAGCCACCTGTCCTTTCAGGCTCCAGCTCCTCCCAAACCCACACAGGTCGTGTGGGCTGTGACACGAAACCACCCCCACACCTCCAAAGCGCAGGAAGAGCAGCTGTTCCCAGGTGGGAAAGCAGCTCCTCCCGTGCCCACAGGTGGCCCTGGCTCTGCCCAACCCTCTCCCAGAGCAGCCCCTGTGCAGGTCCTGCTGTTCTTACCTGCGTGGTGGACACGGAGGAGGAGGAGGAGGCTGGGATGGTGCTGGCGAAGGGGGAGCGGTTGAGCTGCGGGAGGGACGAGGTGCCCTGGTGTGCCAGGAGGCTGGAGGAGAGGGGGGTGCTGCACACAGCCCTGAGCACCCCACCCCCGTGGGAAATGGGGTCCTTGTTACTGGTGTAGATCCCTGCAAGGGGGAGGGGGGAGATGGGTTAGAGAGACGGGATTCCCTCCTCTCCCTTCCAGGGCCTGGTTTTCAGCAGGGCTGGAGCTCAGTGGCACCAGTGCAATTCCAGCTTGGCATGAGCCAGGGTGGTCTCAGCCCACAACCCCTCTATCCAAAGGTGTGTCTCCGAGTTTTCCAGCCTTGTCCCTTCCCTGGAGCATCCAGATGCAATCCAACAGGGAAATCACAGCGTTGGGAGACTGACCCAAGGCACGAATTGGTGGCAGAAGGGGGGAGTGGACTCAGAGAGTTCACACACCTGCCCCCTTCTGTGACAAAAACGGGGAAGAGGGAGAGAGGAGAGAGCTGCTGCCGAGGGAGGGGACCCGTCTGCCTTCCCTTGGCTCAGGAATGCAGTGCCCAAAGCAGGGGGAGCCCTGCCAAGGGCTCTGCACGAGAGAAGAATGGGAGAACTGGCAGAACAGGGCAACGAGCAGAACAGGGGGAACACGGAGGCCTGGCAGCCTCCACCTCTTTGAAACATCCCTTTGTTTGTTCCAGGGAGAGGCAAAAAAAAAGAAAAAATTGGCCCAAGGTTAGGGCTGGGGAAGCTGCCTGGATTCCTGCAGCTCCTTCCCTCCAGACAAACGGCCCAGGCTCCTGGAACACAACAGAACTACCTCCCCCCCTGCAATCTGACCTAAATTGGAGCATCTGCAAACAACCCACAATAGACCGATGACAAGTTCTGCTGCCAGAACAGTGTCAAACCTCAGCCCCTCCTCTGCTGCTGCCTTAACCCCTTCCTGCCCCGTGTCCTGGCTGTCCTCACCCAGGCCAGGCTGGGGAAGGCAGCTCAGACTGGGAACAGCTGTAAGAACGTGGATGTGGTAAGAGCAGGACGAGAGGTTTTGCTTTTAAAAGAGGGGTTAAACTTGAACCACTGAGGAGAGTCTCTAATTTGGGGTCAGACTGTGGTTGTTCTGGTTTGGCCTGTGAATATCCCTCTTTATCGAGCTGGAAATTCAGCTCTGGCTGGCTGAAGGTTTTGCAGCCCTTGAGCAAAAAGGGTTTGGAATGTTCCCCCTCCCCAGCTCAGACCTGCACCCCAGCCCCAGCCCCAGCTGATCTGGAGGAGATTCCAGGATGAAGGGCCAGGATGGAACAGGGAGAGGGGGAGCCCAGAGGTGGATGTTTATGGGGATGGAATTCAGGGGACTGGACTCTGCAGGCAGGTCCAGACAGCAGCTAAATGCGATGAGAAAAAGCTGGGAAAGGCAGCTGTGCACACCTGGAGCCCCAGGGGGAACATACCTGAGCCCAGCAGCGGGGACTCCATGCTGAGGCTGGGCAGGTTCCCGGTGTGGCTGAAGGAGCGGGAGGAGTTGCCGACGCTGGAGCTCACGAGGGAGCCCCCGGAGAAGGGTGACGAGGACGTGGAGGTGGACCCAGCCAGCTGGGCCCCCAAAATCTCTTTGCTTTTCCCCCCCTTTGGCCTGCCGGGCCCGTGCTTGTTCTTCTTGCTACCCTTGTGCTTCTTTTCCTTCAGCACCTCTCCCTCCTCCAGGCTGAGCGATGGCATCCGCTTGTGGCTGCTGCTGCTGCTGCTGCTCCCACTGGTCCCACTGGTCCCCACTGAGGGGCCACTGGTGGGATTTGAGGCTTTGTAGTCCACGGGGGAGGCATCCCGGGCTCTCTGCTGGCTCACAGCCGAGGTGGAGAAGCGCATGATGGACCCAAAGCCAGAGAAAATCACCTTCTGCTCGAAGACGTCGCCCTTCTGGCCCTCGTACAGGGGGGAGCAGTGGGAGGAGGACGAGGAGGACACAGGTTTCCGGTACTTCTCGTCGTCCTGCTCGAGCTTGGGGAAGGTCACAAAGTCCTGGGAGCACTGCAAGCTGCTGCAGGAGGTACCTGGGGGGGGTACAGGGGAGGCAGGAGGTGGCAGAACTCAGCCCACGAGGCGACAGGAGCACACGGGCACAGCACAGGTCCTTCCTCCCAGTAAAGTGCCCGAGCTGAGCCATCCCTGTGACACCCCCCCCCCAGCCCTTGGATGCTCCCTGGGAAGCACCAGCAGCAGGTTCATCCCCACCTGTGCTGTGTCTGTTCCCCCCCATCCCTGCATCCCCCCTCCCATCCCTGCATCCCCCAGGAGCATCCCAGGGGATGGAACGTGACAACAGCTCGAGAAGAACGGAGCGAGGTCGGAGCAGATGGGAGCCCTGCAGGGCTCTCCCTCAAGGCTCAGGGGAGCCTGGCTGTCAGGTGTGGGCTCAGGGCTCTCCTCTCGTGCTCCTTAACCACAACTGCAGCCTGAACCACCTACGGAGCAGAGGGCAGGTGCTGCCCAGATTGTCTGAGCACAGAATCCCTTCCCTCCTCCCTCCACTCCGACATCTGGAGCTGGTTTTCCTCACGAGCCCGTGCAGGAGGGGAGCTGGAGCACTCCTCTGCCTCCCTTCTTCCCTCTGTGCACGGAGCTGGGAGCAACCAGACTCTTCCCTTTCCCTTCAGGGGATTAAAGAGGTCGCCACTGGCAAGGGTTGAACAGGTGAACAGGTCTCTTTGTACACAAAACATCACCACCATTCTCCCCTTCCTTCTCCTTCATCCCCACCCTCTTCCTTCTCCTCTCCCTCCTCCTTCACCCCTCACCTGCAGGCTGGAAGGTCCCGCTGGATGAAGTCGAGCTGAAGCCAACGGAGCTTTTCCCGCTTCCCGTCTTCTTCCCCTTGTGGCTGCTGCCATGGCTCGAGGACTTCCTGCCTTTCACCTCCGACCTGCCGACCTCTGAGGTCTCCTTGCTCCCCTCATGGTGGCTGGTGGAGCCCTGGGCAAGGCACAGACACAGGGGAGGACTCACTCGAGCCAGATGTGGCCCCAGCGGGGGCTCGTTTTCCCAATTTCCCCCCAGAGCAGTAATTGCCCCCTCTGCCCACACAGGGCTGGCCAGGTCAGGTTACTCAGGAGGGAAAGGCAACGTTTCCCTCTCTTGCTGCCTGGTGGCACCAGGCTTTATACTGCCCAGGGATTACCCTCATCCCATGGAAGTGCAGGAAATTAAAGAGGGCACTGCAATCAGGGCACAGAGAGCGGAGACTCCCCGCGCCGATCAGCCCAAGTAAACTCTGAATTTGGCCAGGATTCAAACACATATTTCAGCTTCCTCTCTCAGGTGTGCTGCTCTCAGCACAGTCATTCCACCTGGGGGAACTTGCTCATCCTTGTGCTGTCACAGGAGTTTCCCAGAGCCAGCCCAGGCCTTCCCAAATCTCTGGCAGTAAATATTCCCCGGTGACACCCTCAGAGCAGCATCTGATCAGGCAGCAACAGATGCTCCCCAAACCCCAGATAAGCCTGCAGGAGACAGGGAAGCAAGGGGGATGAAGGGGCTGGCCAGATGCTGGGAAATCCAGGAGCTTGGGATGAGAGAGCGAGAAGTGTGGGAGTTCAGCAGGGGGAGAGGGGGACGGATGGAAAACCAGCTTCCCTGGGGTGCTCACTCTGGGATACGAAACCTTCCCCTTCAAATCAGTTCCAAGCCAAGCCTAAGTGTTCAAAGATCACTTCTTTTAGGTGTCACTGCAACCAATCAGTGTTATAAATATGGCTCTACTGTGATGGCTGCAGCCCAAAACACCTGGGCATTAGTGAAAACACCTTCCCATTCCTCACGAGGAAGGCAACAGAGAAGCACAAATCCCTTCCTGCCATCCCTGGCTCCAGCTGACCTCTTCCCGGGGAGAGCTGGAGGAAAAAAGGGGCTTGTAAATGCAGACTCATGAATGCCCAGATAAAAATCTATCCCCCTGGTTCCTCCCACATGGTTTAATCACTCTGCACAATGCAACAGCTGGCAGGATAACACACACCAGATGTGCCGGGAATATGAAAGACAGGAGGAAGGGAGTGGTGGAAATTGGGGGGTGGGAAGGGGGAGAGGAGGAGGAGGAGGAGGAATCTGTATTTTCTCATCACAGACTCCTGGATGTAGGAGATTAAACCTTCTTGATTTATGAGCTCAGAGGGAGCATGAAAATCTTTCCGCCTTTCCACATGTGCCTGGGGAAGGGAAAGGGGAGCGGGGTCTGGGGGCTGTGGGAAGGCCTGAGGCTGCTCTTGGAGTCACGGGAATGGGATGGTTCTCCTTCCCAAAATTCATGGGTTTGGAGCTCAGCACAAGGTGCAGGAGGGGAAACCACAGGAGGAGAGTTGTTCCAAATCCGGAGGGTCAGGAGGGGAGTGCAGGGCAAGGGAGGGATGAATGCAAGGGGGGAAGGGGGAAAGCTGAGCTGGGAAATAAATCTTAATTGCAAAATTAAGGGGAATGAAAAAAGAGGGTAAAGAGGGGCTGAGCTGAAGGTGGGGTGTGGACACACTCACGTGTGGGGCTGACCTGACCCCAAAGACCTCCCTGAGAGACCCCAGACACTTCGGGGCAGGATTTTCCCACCTCCTGCCAAAATGCATCCCAGATATTGTTTGCCAAGCAGGTCCCAGCAGATGGGTCTGCAGGGTCCTACCACAAACCCTCCTCCCCACAAAGGGCCCTTCCCAGCAGAGCCTGAATTTGGGGAAGAGCCCAACCACTGCGGGACAAAGTGCAACCACACCAAACCCTTCCCCTCCCTGTGCCTCGAGTGCTGTCCCTGTGAGCTCCGTGGAGCTGCAGAACCTTCCAGAAGACACACATGGGCTGCCAAGCACAACACAGCCTGGGCTGCAGGGGAGGGGGCTGCTGCCATCACCCCAGCATTAATTACAGTAACGAGGGCTGCAGTCCTGCCCCCTAACGAAGAGGATTCTGCAGCTCAGGGCTGGGGGGACCTGCATCCCCTGTGCACAAACAGAGCCTTCAGTCCCTGGATCAGCTTTTCTCCAGGGGTTGGGAATCTGTGATCTGTGTGTGTGCAGAACCACCAGCATTCCATGTGCTGCACAGGGGTGTGGGGGCAGGAAAAAATGTAGGGAATCACTGAGGAAGTGAGAGGAGGAGGCAGGAGCCACGTTTAGAAAGGTCTGTTTAAAGCAGCCACGTGAAAAATGTCACCCTAAAAACCCGCTGCCCCAGCTGGGGGGTGACAGACTGATGGGGAAACTCCTGGCTCTGACTGGGAGAGGTGGGATGGGGGCACCTGGAGGGCCCAGCAGAGGTGGGCACACACCTCCTGTCCCATCCCTGCTGTCCCCCAAGGGCTGTCCCTGCTCCCTCATCCCCCCCACCCCGTGCCACTGAGCAGCTCCCGAGCTCCTCCCTGGATAATCTATTTATGGGGAATCAGAGCATCCCTGTGCCTCTGGATTGGCAGGAGGAGCTCCTCGGGGAGGCACTGATGGAACACAGAAGGGCTGGGGGAGGCTGGGGATGTGTGGGAAACACAGAGAGGCTTTGCCCTGGATTAAAGTGCTGGCGAGGGGAAGGAGGGAGGGTGTGGATGAGGAACTGCAGCAGCCCCTCAGCTGGGAGGATCAGCCTTTCCAGGCTGGATCACAGGGTCAGGGTCAGGAATTCCTGTCACCACCTGCACCATCCCTGTGTCTGAGCCACTCACAACCTTCTTCCACAACACCACAGAATCGTGGAATGGGTTGGGTTGGAAGGGACATTAAAGCCCATCCAGTTCCACCCCCTGGGCAGGGACACCCTCCACTAGCCCAGGTTGCTCCAAGCCCTGTCCTTGGACACTTCCAGGGGATGGAGCAGCCACAGCTTCTCTGGGCAACCTGTGCCAGGGCCTCCCCATCCTCACAGGCAGGAATTTCTTCCCAATATCCCACCTAACCTTGCTCTCTGTCAGTCTGGACAAGCCACCTTGCTGTGCCTCAAGGTTTCCTATTATCCTGTGCAACATTGCACTGGTGGAACAATCCAGAAAGCCTCACACAACCCCTCCCCTCCAAGGGGGCTGTTCAGGGTGGTAACAGGCTCTTAAATTTAGGATCAAATTTGATCTGGAGTGAGCACCTTTGGCAACAGAGTCCGAGCAAAACTTCGGGATGTAGGCACAAAAAAAATGCACAAAAAAGTAAAACACACTCTCTGTTCTGAGGGTTAATAATAAATCCCAGGGGAAACACTAAACCCCTGTCAGCTCCAGCACAGCCACAGCAATCAGGATCTCCCCAATTTCAGCTTGCAGGGAGTTGAAAGCTGCCTGTAAAACTGAATTACACCCTTCCCTCCGTGTTTATAAAGGCCTGGCAGGACTGTGGAGGAGACAGTGGGTGATTGTCTGACAACTGCTCTCCCTGGCCAAGAGGCAGGTTTTGGGTTTCAGGCTCAGCTTGAAAATAATCTTCTCAGGCCATCAGGTCCTGTCAGCTCCGTTAACCGGGTGAATCCACTGCTCCCAACAGCCAGAGCTGAGCTGCCCTCACACCCCCCCAGGGAAATCAGGGGCTCTTTGGAGCAGGGAAAGCAGGAGCAGAGCTCAGAGGTTGTTCTGCTGCAACTTTCTGCTGCTCCCAGCCTTGCCAGGGCAGCTCTGACCTACATCCCCTCCTCAGCCTCACACAAATCCTCTCCAGTCCTAACCCCAAGCCCCTGTGCTTTCACCTCCCAGCCTGTCCCTGCAGTGCTTCCCACACAGCCTGACACTGCCAGCCTGGGAATTCTCCTTCCCACCAGCCAGTCCTGCCATGGAAAGGACACCCAAGCCTTTCCAAGCAGCATTTCTGGGCACAAAAGGACGTTCCTTTGTGTCCCTTTTCCCGAAAGCACAGGTTTATTTGTTCCAGCAGGAGCCTGGCCCTTGCCCTCCTCATTTACACCAAAGAGCCCTGCTAAGGAGCTGCATTAATTCCCACTCCCACTCCTGAGTTCAGCTCCAAAGGTCCAAGGACTGGAGTGACCCCATTTGTTCCCTGACCCTCAACAACTGCAGGGCCTTCACCTTGCTGTGTGCAAGCTCAGCTGTGTCTGGGCTGCTCCCCAGGATTTGGGGCTGTCAGGAGTGACAGAAATCCCAGGGCTGTCCCGATTTACAGCCAGGGGTGAGCCCATGTCAGCAGCAGGGAATCCCAGGGATACCCTGACACCCTGACTGTGCCCTACCTGGGCATGGAGAGGACAAACTCACTCAGGTGACACCTTCCCAGCAGGGAACTGGGCTCTCTCTACACCTCAGGAGCAGAACAGGCCCCCACACTGTGCCCCCCTGCCTGAGTTTTCCTGAAATGGAGGAACTAAGAACCCAAGCTCCCACTGCTCACATGGAAAAGCTGCCTCTTGGAAGCACTTGGAAGAGCTGGTGTGCTCCTGAGGTTGTCTCTTTTTTTCCCTAATAAGGGAAATTAGGAGAATAAACCAGGATAAATATAAAATGTAAGTCTAATAAAGGGTAACACCCCTCCCCAGGCCCTGCCTTGCAGTCCCACCTGCCTGGGCTGTTCACAACGGGAGCAGCAGAAAAAGCCAAACCCCGGGTATTCATCTGTTCTGTGAGAGCTTCAGATCTGCACATCTGCTGCAAACCAGGCTGGCACTTCCAGCCCAATCCCTGGGGGGTTCAGTCCGTGATTGTGTCGTCAGTGCTGACAGAAACCAGGAGAGCTGCCTGGAAAATTCCCGAGGTGGGCGCCGAGGAGGGGAGAGCAGGAATGTAACGGTTCAGGAATCAACCCCAACGGACAAAAGCCCTTCCTGTGCTCCCCTGCCCTGCCCTGCCACTGCCAGGGTGGTTCTCCCCACCCTCCCTCCCCAAACACTCCCATCCCAGGGGTGCCAGGGGTGGTACCTTGTCGGTGGTGACGGGCACCGGGGCCGGGGGGAGGCTGCTGGGAGGAGACTCCGGCCGCTTTTTGTGCTTCTGTTTAGGTCTCTCTTTGTCCTTCCGACTCTGGAAAAGAAATCAGAGAGCACTGGAAAGGGTAACTTTCCCTCTGCTGAGAGTAACAGTTGTAAGGGAAAAGAAAGGAGGGTGTGTAGGGGTGGATTTACAACCATACATTCGTATCCCTCTTTCCTTCTCCACCCATCCACAAGAGCCCAGGATCCCTTCCCCCCACGTCCCAGCTTCTGGCTGGAAGCATCCCCACTATCTCTGCCCCAGCTGCAGCCAACATCTGGAGAGCAGAATATCAACAGAAGCCCCAAATCACTCCATGGTAAGATGATAGGGAAGGACTTAACAAGCTCTGGCTGATTTCTGGAAACCTGAGCTTTCCTCTTGCCATTCCCCCAAAGGGACCCTGTGCCCCTTTGCCCTCCCTCTCTTGCCTCTTTTCCAGGGTTTCCCAGATCCACCCCGCCCAGAAAACGGGAGGACCTCGATCCCAGCACGTGCTGCACGTGCACAGGTAGAGAGAGCAGGTGGTGGAGAGCTCAGACCCCACCCCAGAGACCCCCCCACGCCCCCTCCCCTCCCTCCCAACAGCTGCTCCGGGTCTGGCCCCGCTGACACGACACAGACTGTTGGGTTTGGTTTTTCATCCTCGTTTTATCCTCTCCCTGAAACGCCAGAAATGTGGGATTCTTCAAACTGCAAACCAGGGAAAAAGCCCTGGCTGGAGAAACAGAGTCCTGCCTGCCCCTGGTTTTGTGTCCATGCCCCTGGGGAGTGGTGGAGAAGGGTGGATGGGCAGGACCTGCTCCATCACACATTCCTGCTTCTTCCCTGCCTTCCTCATCTCCACACTCCACACTGAGCTGACACAGGAGCTTTTCCACGCCACAAACACCAGCTAAAAAATGTGCCCTCCTTCACTGGAGCTGCAGGAACTCCTGTGCCCAGCTCCAAACTTCCCAGTGTGGTCACTGGTGTGGGGACCAGCAGAGCTGCTGTTGGATAAACACCTGCCTGAGACGCAGGGCTTGGAAAAATCCATCCTCCCACCTCCCAGACTTTTTCTGGGGGAGGAAAAAAATGCCTATTTTTGCACACACTACCCTGGCACTTCAGCCTATTCTAGAGGCTGAAGTGCCCAGTCTGGGTTGAAGGTGTGTTCAGAACAGTCACATCAGAATTCCCTGACTCCCCAGGAAGATTCCTGATTGCTCCCTCATGCAGGAAAAGCCCTGAGGCTGCAGCTGCCAGCACATGCCAAAGTTGGGATGCTGTCAGGGAAAAGAGGCAATTCCAGCAAACATTTGAGATGCACTCTGTGTTTTTGAGGGAGGAGAGGAGAGAGGGGAGTAATTAGCTGAGGAATCAATAGAATAAACTGGAAAAAAAAGGGGGCAGGAGGAGGGACAGGGTAGGAGGAAAATGCTGGAGAAGGCAGGTGTGAAGTGAAGCAAAAGTGCTCCAGAAATCAGCACCTCCCAGGGTGGGTCTGGCTGAATTTCTGAGCAGGAGGGAGGCCCATGATCCTGCCACGATGCCAAGGAAGATTTCACTGGGATGAACCAGTGAAAAAAAGGAGGCAAACCCAGCCTGGAACTTCACAGCCCTCGCTGAGTGCCCAACCAGCACTGCCAATATCCATCATTTTATCACAAAACTCCTGGCATTTGGAATATCTGTTAAAACTTCTGTTCCTAGAGCTACAGTATTTCGTAAGAATCCCTATTTTCTCCCCTCCCCTCCTTTTTTAAATACACATTTCCAGCCCTGGCAGTGAAGAAGGAAAGCTTGAAAATGTGATTTCTGCCAACTAAATTTGCTGAAAGACAAATTCAAATTAAATCTTTACTAAAACTCATAATGTTTTAAATACTTGGGGGCTTCTTGTGCTATAAATTCCCAGTCCCCTGGGTTTTCTGGGACAGGAAGATGGGAAAACTGTGGCCCAGCTCATTAAGCAGCTCCTCACAGACCACGTGCACACCAGTGCTCACTGCTCCTGTCGTAGTAATAGTTTTTAATATCTCCATCTCGTTTTACAAATGGGGAAAACAGGGCATGCAGGATGAGAGGATTTCACAGAAAGCCATCCATAAATTCAGAGGGAAAGTCAGGGATCACGTGGAGACACATTTACCACCTTTCACAGGTGCTGCCAGTGCCACTCAGGGAAGCCAGGAATGGAAACCAGGAGCCAGACACCTCATTATGGCACCTTTTGCCAAGCAACTTGCACAAACCTTAAACTTTCTGAATACCACAGAGCTCATCCTCTCGTTTTCAGCCCCCTGAATCCCCAATGGATTTCCACGAGGACGCTGCAACAGGAGGGAGCAGGAGGCACTGAGTGATTTAATGCCACATGTCGTGGGCAGGATGAGCCAAGGCAGAGTCAAACCACTCTGGGGGATGACAGTGAACCCACACACGTGTGGGAAAGGCAGGAATGTCCCAACTGTCACGACAGCGAAGCACAAACCCCCCTTTTCCCCGAGTTTCACCACCAAACTCACACCCTCCAGCTTCAAAATCCTGGCCTGGAAAAGCTCCCTTTGCTGTCAGCACAGAGCTGGCTCTATATGGGGGTGGGTACATCTGTCCATGTCCAGCAGGAACCCTGCCTGCACAAGAGGGACCAGATTTCTGGAATGCCTCAGCTCCCAGATTTCTGGAATGCCTCAGCTCCCAGATTTCTGGGACACCTCAGCTCCCGTTCAGACCCTTCGATGAATGATCAGGTTTTCAAAAAAAAAAAAAAAGAAAAGAAAAAAAAAAAGAGATCTAAATGCTGGGGATTGAGCCCTTTTGAAGCTCTGGCCTCGACTGCACGTGCTGAGCAACTGCACTCAAACTGTTTGGAAAAATCTGTCTCCCAGAGCCCAAGCTCTGCTCTGCTCCAGGGGCTGCTCCAGAAGCACCACTCACACCTTGCTCCTCCACGGGCTTCCCAAGCACCTTTCCCCTTCCACACCACATCCCCTCCAAGCTCTCCCTGCCATTTCTGCTCAGAACCCAGAGGACTGGGCACCCAGGAGCTCTCTGGGCTCGAGCTTTGCCCAGCCTGGGTGCCCCACTGCCTTTGCAGTGTCCCCCCCTCCAGTTCATCTCTGACACCTTTGGGTGCTCAAAAGGCAACAGGATCCGGTGAATTCTTCAGTATTCCTGGAGAAATGCAGTGTCTTGTGTTCAAACAGGCAGGACAGCCAATTCTGTCACCCCAAGGGTGGGGTTGGGGTGCCCCCAGACCACGGCGCTGGTGGGAAGGTGACGGTGCCTGTCATGGCCATGGCACTGAGAGCTGGGCTGCTCATCCCTCCTGGACACCTGACAGACCCTCACCCAACCCAGGCTCACCCCAGGGGCTTTGAAACCTGTGGATTCTCCCTCCAGGAACCAGAAAGCTCCAAATGCTTCCTGCAGGAGCCGCCGAGAGGGGAGGGCAAGGCGAGACGGGGGAAGCGGCACTTCGGTCCCCTTTTGGTCCCCACCTTGTCTCCCTGGCACAGAGGTGCCAGGAGAACTTCCAGGAAACTTTATGGACCACATAAACCACAGGCAAGAGCCAGGCCTGCCTGAAGCAGGAATCAGGGGAGGAGGAAGAGGAGGAAGAAGGAGAGAAGAGGAAACCTCTCACCACCCCCATCCCACCTTTGCCAGCCCAGCCCTACCTTGCAGCCGCCCGGCGTTCCCCGCGGAAGAGCTGCGGGCTGCAGGGAACGGGAACCTGCCCCCAGCACCAAACCTCATGGAAAACAACCTCTCCCCGTGCAGGATTGAGCAGCTGGGGCTTGGCATGTGGGCACGGAGCGGGGCAGCCCCGCGGCGGGGGGAGCGCGGCCGCATCGGGGGCGTGACGGCGACACAAAACCCCCCTTCGGAGCTCCCCGGAGCAGGAGGAACCAAACGGGAGCTCCCGCTGCCAAAAAGGGGCCGGGAGCAGCTCCTCCACCTCCGGCTCCCCTTCCCCGAGCCCCCCTCTCTTCTCATCTGCTGGACACCAGCAATTGGATCGTTAAAAGGAGATTGGGCAGAGGGAAGGAGAGAGGGAAGAGCCGGGAGCTGGGAAGAGCCGGGAGCTGGGAAGAGCCAAGTGGGCTCTGCTCCCTCCCTCCCTCTTTCCCAGGCTCTCTGAACTCCCGCACCCGCAGGAGGAGGAGGAGGAGGAGGAGGAGGAGGAGGAGGAGGAGGATGCCTGGCTCCTGGCTGCAGCCACGGCAACAGCAGCGAGGAGGAAGGCAGCACGGGACAGAGGGACACGAGGGATCTCCCTGCGACCTCACTGTACCCGGGGCCGTGCCAAGGGCTTTGTGGCTTTGCCTTAAAACACCCTCCAAGTGTGTGAGAGTTTTCCAGCAGGACACACAGCCAGCCCTCTCCAGGCTTTGTGTGCTCCCAACAAACCCATGCGAGCAGCCACTGGAAAAAAACATCCCTTCGCCCTCTGTGCCTGTATGGACACAGAATTCCAGGGCAGACCTCTGTCACCAGCCCCTCAGAGACCCACTGGGATTAGATTTCAGCACGGATTGCCCAGAGAAGCTGTGGCTGCCCCTGGATCCCTGGAAGTGTCCAAGGGCAGGTTGGATGGGGCTTGGAGGAACCTGGGCTGGTGGAAGGTGGCAGAGGGTGGCACTGGGTGAGTTTTAAGGTCCCTTCCAACCCAAACCATTCCATGATTCTATAAGTGCCTCCCTCTTTCCTGTGTCCCTGGACAGAGACTTTTCATCTCCCTGCAACGTTCCATTATCCCAATTACAAGCTGATTGATTTTACTTACGGATTCCAGGTGTTGCCTAAGAACAACACTGGACAAGTGTCTCCCTCCAAAAACACATTGGGATTGGGATATGCCAAAAAACACAGCAGTGCCTGTTGCTCCTGCCTGCTCCTGGAGTGACAAATTTCATTTCCATGGCCTGTGGCAACTTTTTCAAGCAGACAAAATAGGTGACAGAACATCTGTGCTCCATTCGTGCCCCGTGTGCGTCATCCCTGGTATTTAGCTATTGTTTCTCTTCTTTTTTAAGTCTTTCTTTTTTTTTAAAACAAACCAACCCTGCAAAGGCTCCCACAGGGCACAGAGCACACACACACACACACTGTAATACCAGCCCCAAAGAAATAAAGAAAATAAGGCCTGAGGAAAACCCAAAGGCTGCAGCTTTCCCATTTTTAAGGCTGGTACAGAAGGAAATGCTTGGGAAATGCTGCAAGAGGAGGGGGATGTGAGGCTGACGTGCAGTCCCATGTCACAATTGTCCCTTGTTCTGCTGAGAACAAGACTCTCCACAAACCCTGGAATTACAGCAGGGCTTAGGAGCCCAAATCCCAAATGCTGAGCCCCTCCTCAGTCATTAACTCCGAGTTTTCCTCAGGTAAAGTCTGAGCAAACGGAGCACCTGCAGCCCAGGTGAGTCTGCACCCACTGGGCTCTGCTCACCCAGGAGTGACCGGCTCCTGGCATCGCCTCCAGCTCCAGGGGGACGTGCCCAGGCAGCTGCACAGCTGGACAGGCTCAAGGAAAAGCTGCTGTGCTCCAGGAGCACTCCCAGTTCCAGGGGAACACGTGCAATTAGATCATGCACGGCTGGTCACGTACTCCCAGCCCGGCTGGGAAGGGCTGGCTCTGCTCTGGGTACCCTCCCAAAGGTCTGTCCCCACACTGCCACACTCCCAGACCTTCCTCCTGAACACTCCCAGACCTTCCTTCCTCCTGCACTCCAAAAACTTCTCCCAGACCTGTAAACCCCCTCGGACACCCCTGGAAGCTGAGAGCGCCCTCCTCACCCTGCTCACCCCCTCGGCCCCTTCCCGTGCCCTCTCCCCGAGTGGAGGGAGCTGATTTTGCACTCGTGCCAAGCAATCCCAGCCCTGGAAGGGGCCTCCACGGGATCTGCTGCCTCCAAAGCCTCGGGAGGGGGAGCAGGGAGGCAGCAGACGGAGTCCCCGCACGTCTTGGGAGGAACCCAGAGCTAACAATAGTGGCAGGAGCCTCTGGGAGCCTATAAATAACCCCCTATTCCTCCTGTTTTCGCTCTCCCCCTGGCGCTGACCTGCTTTTCCAAGCAAATCTGGGAGCAGCCCCTGCTCTACCTGCCAGGCACACGTGACTGTGCAAACACAGCAACCCCGGAGCAGCCCCAGCCCTGGCTCTGTCAGTGATAATTCCAGCTGAGCCTTCCAAACCCCCATCAATCACCCTGATCCTGCCCTTTCCACCCCCTCCTCCCTCGGCTTGCTGGATAAAAATAGCAAGTTCCAGTACAGCCCAGCACCTTGTGCCAAGCGCTCCCTGACCCTGGCACAGATGCTCTTCTTCCCTCCCTCCTCCTCCTCCTCCTCTCCCAGCAGCTGAACACACAAGAGGAGTAAACACTCCCCGTGCCCTCGTGGGCAGGATATTTCCTGACTCTTTGGGATTGAGGTTTCCTTGTTTGCCCAAGCATCAGGTAGGGCTTGGGCAGCTCTCCCAACTCCTCCTGGCCGGGGTGGGCAGCGTTTCCAGCTGGATGTTGTGGGATAACCTCTGCAAATAAAGGCAGATCTGTCTTTCCTGCCCACAGGATTTATGGGCTCTCAGCTGGGCACACCAGGACAGTGTCAGTCACATTAAGTGATGGCCACACTGCCTTTGGAAAGCCTGGATGCCCTCGGCCTCTGGAGATTGGGCTGAGATCCATCAGGCCTAGACCACATAACCCACCAGAGAGCCACAGAGCTGCTTTGGGATGTGGGTCACTGTCACTCCCACTGCAGATGATTTACATGCTGGGGATGCCCAGTGCAACGGGACAAAAACAAACCAAAGGGAGCAAACAGGCAGAATGAAAAGATCCCTGCTGGGACCTGCAGGGACGTCATCAGCTGTGTTTGTGCAAGGGAAATCTGGCTTTTGACTGGAGTAGAACATAACCAGAGGTTGTCTGGTAAAAGAGAAAGCTCTGGGGAGAGCTTACAGCACCTTCCAGCAGCTAAAAGAACTCTGGACAACAGCATGGAGTGACAGGACAAGAGGGAATGGCCTCGAGCTGAAGGAAGGGAGGTGGGTTTTTCACATTGCAAAATTCGTACCCATCAAGGGGCAGGAAAGATTCTTTGTTCTGCTGCCACCTGCCTCAGCACCTGAATGCTCAAAAAAACACCCCCCATGTCCTGCCTTTTGGGGCTATTTGTTGTTATAAATAACAACCACACAGGAGCCTGTGGCCTCCTCATCTCTTCTGGTACAGCCCCTGTCAGAACCTGCCGGGGTTCTGCCTTACACATTCCCTGCTGCTTTTCCTTGAAATATGAGCGTTTGTCACGTGAGCCAGTTGGTTAATGATGAACCTTGGTGTGCTGTTAACGTGCCCTGTAACCCTGCAGCAGTTTTGAGGAGCACACCTTAACCAGCAGAGTTAAACAACTCAGACCTGGCACACGATGTTCCTCCAAATAATTGTTTAATGGAGATAAACTTAATTTTCACAGGTAGACTCGAACCCTGTGGCTGGTTAATCTGACTAACAAAACACTCCCTAGTTTAAACTAATTATTGTTCTTGCCTGCAGTTAACCTGCTGGGCACTAATCAGCATTTTTTTTGTCCTTTAAAACTTAAGACTGGGGGATCTGAGGACAACGACCTCCGCTCCTCGAGCTGCTGTGTTTCAAACCACTCTTCCCCTTGTTCCCCCCGTGGCTGTGGCTCCCTGGATCAGCAGATCCCACATGGATCTTACCTTCTTTGGCCTGTCGTGGTGGGACACGTGTTTCTCCTGGGTGGGGGACGTGGAGCGGCTCCTCCTCCCAGCGATGAAGGAGCTGCTTCCAGAGTGCCGTGAGGTCTTCTGAGGGAAGTGGGCAAGGACAGGAGGTGGAAGAGGGGAAAAAAAGAGAGAGGAAAGAGTGTTATGGAGCCCAGGTTTCACTGTTTCAATCAGCAAAGTTACAGTAAATGGTCTGTCTCTCCCACATGCTGGGGTAAACCCCGCCGGGTCCCTGACTCCTGGATTCCATGGATACAAACAGCACAGAGATCCAACTCTCCCAATCCTCCCTTCCTGGTGGCCCAAGGACACTTGTCCAAGGAATGCCCAGCTTCCAAGAACCCATCCTGTTATCCAGGGAAGCGGTAGCAGCAGTGTTGTTATTCCTGAACTCTCAGTCCTGAGCTGGGAGTGGGAATCCCTGGGGAAGGAAGGACTGACTCCCTGTTTGCCAACCCCAG